TGAAAAGAAGTCCATTGTGTAGAGCTCGTCGAGATCTATCTAGCCTGATGTTTTCGGAGCTTGGTCTGATGAATTGGTCAATGGTGACGGGTTTTGGTGAAAAACCTATGAAAACCTGCAGTAATTGGTATTTTTCTGAGCAATGCTAGAATGGGATCGGGTTGAAGAAGTCCATTGTGTAGAGCTTGTCGAGATCTATCTAGGGTGATGTTTTCGAAGCTGGGTCTGATGAATTGGCGAATCGCGGTGGATTCTTCGGATAAAACTGCGGTTTCCAGGAATGTTCAGCAAATTCCTAGGCAACTGAAGCATTGCAAAGAAGTGACAAGTATACCATTCGATAGAGCAAGTCAAGCTCCATCTAGGATGAAGTTTTGAGAGATTGGTCTGATGAATTAGCGAATCGCGACAGGTTTTCCTGAAAAACTAGGCTTTTTTGTAGTAGTTTTTGCAGTATTTTGGGTTTTTCTCTATGATGGGTAGGTCTAGGGAAAAAAATAAATAGTGCGTTCGATAGAGCTCGTCGAGATCTACCTTGGTCCAATGTTTGTTCAATTTGGTCTGATGATTTGGCGAATCGTATTGGAAAATACGCGAATCCTGACCTAAGATATCCTACGTAAAGAACTATAAGATAATGTAAAATATAAAACAACATCAACTATTGTTAATAGTGAAACTAATTTTGAAAAATTATTCTCTGAAGCACTTGATAGTTATTCATCATCATTTCTTCTTTGTAGTCTTCACGCATGTGGATCGTTATCTTGTTCACTTTTAAATCATTTTGTTGAAAATCTATCTGTACGTGCCATCGCTAATGTTGCGTGTTGTTATCATTTATTGGAAGAAAAATTTGTTGCAAATCCATTTACAAGTATGAGTATGAACTTAATAATTAAAATAGAAATCTTTTTCTTATAGATTATTGTGCCGAAAATGATCCGTGCAGTTTTCCATTGAGCCATCGATTAATTGAAGAGAAAACAAAATTAGGTGAAAATGCTAGAATGCTTGCTGTTCAATCATTCGAAAGAAATAAAGCAGATCAAGTGCGATTATTTAAATTCTTTTAAAAATGACTTTCTTTCTTCCTCTCTAATAGACATTAAATGCTGGCTTATGGTATCGAGCATTAATGCAAGTGCTTCTTGTTGAAGTTTATGGATTAATAACTGGCTTACAAGATATTGAATTAGGAAAATTAACAAAAAAGTTCGTGATATTTGAAGAATACGTATGGAAAGCAGTGGACGAATTAAAATCAGATAAAACAAAAGTGAATTTTACTTCATGCGCAGTGAAGTTCTCATCATAGTAGAAGATTTCATTTCATACAACTGTATAGGACTTCGCTCTAAAATCAATGAATATTTACGTTGTTTTGTATTTGACTCGATAACTTTGAATGTAATTAATAACTATTGGATACGTTATGAATCATGTCGTCGTCAACTTCATACATTTATTCAATTGAAAGTTTTGTTTTCTGGATTAACTGAAATGATGATTTTACTCGATCGACTTGTTTTTCTTGAAGAATCTGTTGTTTTACTTTGATTTGATTATCTCAATTATTTATATTGTTGTCTTTCGCAGGTACCGACTGCATCATCATATTTAGTGGCATTGTTTGATCCGATTAAATCGCCACGACGTAGGTGTTTAATTTCATTAAAATAAATAGATATTTAAAACAAGATTATCTAATATGTTTTTTTCATGTTAATATAATTTTTTCAGATAGGTACGCCGCAACGTGATTTAAAAGTAAATTATTCTGAAGTGCAAAAGGATTTATTGACTGAAAAACATCGTGCATTTTTAATTTGTTATGATCGTTCACATAATACATACGAATATGGTGCAACTAATTATCGTTGTATGAGTGGTATTTATTGACTTTGTACATGTCTTGATTTACTTCATTCATTAAAATTAATTGATCAAGAACATATTATTGATTATATACAAAAATGTTACGATAAAAATTCTGATGGTTATTCCCCAGGTCTAGGCATGGACCAAAACCAAAGCTGGTTTCGAAGTTTTGGTTTTGAGTCTTGGTTTTGACATTGTTTTGGTTTTGATATGTTTTGGTTTTGATATGTTTTGGTTTTGACAATGGTTTTGGTTTTGACTCAAAACCAAAACTATATCAAAACTAAAGCCGTGAAAAACTGTCGACAGTTTCGGTTTTGGTTTTGGTTTTTCTCAGTCATGAAAGGATGAGTGTCTAAAGGAAAATTGTTTGTCTTTTTGCAGCGCTCAAAATGGCTGAAAATTGAATGTCCGTTTTTCGGGCATGAACTATTTTTCATGGTTCTTCTGAAACTACACTGTAAAAAAATTCGTAAAATAATAAACCCAAAAAGGGTTGATGAAAGTGCAACGTATAGTAAACTCTTTTTACCGTATAGAAAATTCTCATAAACCCTTTTTTAGGGTTCATTAAAGGGTTTATGAAATTCCTAAACCCTTTGATATACCCTTACTAAGGGTGTATGAAAGGGTTTAGGAAGTTCATAAACCCTTTAAGGGTTTATTATACGTTGCACTTTCATCAACCCTTCTAAGGGTTTAGGAAAATCATAAACCCTTTGATATACTCTTACTAAGGGTGTATGAAAGGGTTTATGATTTTCCTAAACCCTTTAATAAACCCTAAAAAAGGGTATATGAAAGGGTTTAGGAAATCAATATACCCTGTCATATACCCTTTGGAAGGGTTAGGAAAGTAAGAAACTCAATCCTGAACCATTTGGAACGGTTCCAGAAAGGGTTCACGTTTCCCCAAAACCCCTTCATACACCGGCCTAAATGGTTCAGGATTGAGTTTCTTCCTTTCCTAAACCCTTACAACGGTTTATATTAGTGCAAAGCACAATAAACCCTTTTCACGGCTTATTATTTTCCTAAACCCTTCCAAAAAGCACATGAAAGGGCATATTGATTTCATAATCCCTTTCAAATGCATTTCAGAAGGGTTAGGAAATACTCACCATTGTATATATTGATCGAGACGCTGTAAATAAAAAAATAATCATTTTATATTTAAAGTTATGCTTATACCGTATTGAACCAATCGCTTGCCGATATCTAAATAAAAGAAAAAATTATTTAATATAAATGTTATACTTACTGTTATTGAGCCAAACGTTCGACCATATCTAAATTTAAAAACATTTACCTGACTTTTCGATTTCACTTGACTTGGCTTCAGTTCGTAGAAAATATTTTCACCAAGTTAAATGAAGTCAAGTGATATACACATGTTTTCCGATCTAACATGACTTGTTTAAGTTGATCCAAAAACTTTTTCATATCACTTACCTTGACTTGATATAACTCCATGAAAACATTTTCTACCGAGTCAAGTCAAATCAAGTCAAGTGAGATAAAAAACGTTTCGATATCACTTGACTTAACTTGACTTGGTAGAAATTTTTTCCATCAAGTTAAATGAAGTGAAGTGATATGAGAAGTGTTTTTCGATAAACTTAAACAAGTCAAGTCAGATCGAATAAATTTTTCATATCACTTAACTTCACTTGATATAACTTCATGAAAAAATTTTCTTTCAAGTCAAGTCAAGTTAAGTGATATCGAATTTTTTCCGATCAGATTTGACTTTTTTAAGATGATCGAAAAAAATTTTCCTCCCACTTAACTTTATTTAACTTGCTGAAAAATTTTTCTACCAAGTCAAGTGAAATCAAGTCAACTGAGATAGAAAAACGTTTCGATATCACTTGACTTAACTTGACTTGGTGGAAATTTTTTCCATCAAGTTAAATGAAGTTAGGTGATATGAAAAGTTTATTCAATCAACTTAAACAAGTCAAGTCAGATCGAATAAATTTTTCATATCACCTAACTTCACTTGATTTAACTTCATGAAAAAATTTTCTACCAAGTCAAGTGATACCGAAACGTTTTTCTATCTCACTTGATTTGATTTGACTTGACTTGGTAGAAAAATTTTCCATCGAGTTAAATGAAGTTAAGTGATATGAAAAATTCATTCGATCAACTTAAACAAGTCAAATCTGATCGGGAAAAATTCGATATCACTTAACCTGACTTGACTTGGTAGAAAATTTTTTCATGAAGTTAAATCAAGTGAAGTTAAGTGATATGGAAACTTTTTTCGATCCGAGTTAACTTGTTTAAGTTGATCGAATAAATTTTTCATATCACTTAACTTCATTTAACTTGGTGAAAAACTTTTCTACGAAGGCAAGTCAAATCAAGTCAAGTGAGATAGAAAAACGTTTCGGTATCACTTGGGTTGTCTTCACATGATAGAAAAGTTTTTTATCAAGTTAAATCAAGTCAAGTTAAGTGATTTGGAAAAACGTTTTGATCTAAATTGACTGGACTGAACTTAATTGAAAAATTTTTTACCAGTCAAGCCAAGCCTCGTGATATCAAAAAGCTTTTCTATATCACTTGACTTGGGGTGACTTGATTTAAAACGTTTTGTACCGAGCGAAGTGAAATGAAGTCAGGTGAGATAGAAAAACGTCTGGAGATCACTTGACGTGACTTCACGTCAGGGTGGAAAAGCTCATTACCAGCCACTCGAATAACTGGGTTAACGATAAATTTAGGCTCTGACGAGATTATATTCAAGTGACAAACTGGATTGAGATGGAGTAGCTTACAGCCACTTGCGGCAATGATGCTTATTCGCTTATTCACATATCCAGAGTGTAACAAGCTCATACATAACGCACGTATGTATAGGAGAGAGATAGAAGAGAGACAGAAGAGAGAGATATTATAACAATGGAAAGAGAACAGAAGGAAGAGGAAAGAGAATCATCGAAGCGTGCCATCAATATCGGCACACTGGGAATGGCTAGGAAAGGTTTGGAATGATTGGGGATGGTTGAGGATGGCTGGGAATGGGTGGGACCTTTGAATCACTGGGAATATTTAGGAATGGCACGGAATAGCCGAATGAGTTTTTTCTCCCTTGATTTATGCAATCGCATTATCTTCAGGAGAAAACATCCGTTTGCGCTGAAACTTTCACGATATTCTAAGAATCACGAGGCCTACTTATTGAAAAAATATCAGCACAAAATTCCATCATTTGGAACGAGACATTGCGTTGGGTTTTTGAATTTTCAGAATCAAAAATCCGCCGTTTCCGCTTCATTAAATGATGCCATGTCCGATATAAAATTTTTTCGATCTCAGTTGACTTGAATATTAAACTGTTTTCGTGCAAAGGTAAAACAATAAACCCTTCTCTTTGAATTTCGCCGCATAAACCCTTTTTTTCTTCAAATACCATTAGTCTCATAAACCCGTCGGGTTATAAACCCTTTTCGTGTTTCCTAGAAAAGCAGAAACCCTTTATGGGTTTTGGAAAATTTTCTTCTAGTACTAGGGTTTAGTATTCTACGTTTTTTTACAGTGTATCCTTCACCGTAGAATAAAAACCTTATTCAAGAAGAGGCATATTAATATACCCTTCAGCGTAGAGTAAGAAACCCTTTTCATGAAAAGGTAGAACAATAAGCCCTGTATCGTAGAACAATAAACCCTTTTTATGAAAACGTAGAACAATAAACCCTGTACCGGAGAATAATAAGCCCTTTTTATGAAAACGTAGAACAATAAACCCTGTACCGTAGAATAATAAACCCTTTTCAAAAAAGGTAGAACAATAAACCCTTTTTTGCTACTCATAAACCCTTTTTATTTTCAAATCCCCTTTTCCTCAGAAACCCTTTCACACAAAAACCCTTAAAGGGTTTAGCAAACCCGAATAAACCTTTTAAGGGTTTAGGAAGACTTTCCAAACGTACAAGGGTTTATTGTTCTACGAATTTTTTTTACAGTGTAGTTAGGATATAAGAATACTGTATAGTTATTTTTAAATGTCAAGCTTGCCATCAATATCCAGAACTTTTTCATTTCTATGTGATGAAGCATAAAGTGTAACTGTTGATAATTGAAAGTCTTCAATTAATTTTTGTAGGAGCTATATCAATAATTTATTTTTATCTACAACCTGCCTGTATTTGGGAGTAACTGTGATGTTTTAGAAGATTATTATGAATGTGCATTAGATTCTGAAGCAGCACCTAGACTTATTCACAGTAATTGAATTCGATCTAGGGTTTCAAACAATAAACTAATGACAAAATATAAGTTATTTAATTTTCTACGATTACACCACCGTAGAGATAGCATTTTTCAGTCGCGCTTGAAAGCTTTGATTTTTATAATGCATCCTGGAAAATCTAACGGAAGTAAACTGCTTTTTAACCATTACGTTTAATCTTATTTAATTGATTTTGTGTTAATACATATTGAAATTTTTCATAACATATTTTCTCATGACGTTCTATTGCCCGACAGCCAGTGAGATGCGTTACAGACCATTGGCTATAACTATCAAACATATTGTGCTTGAATTGAAAACTTATGTGTAACGATTATATGCGGAGAGCGTCCAAATTCCATCCGGGGTGTAATGCTCTCGTTCGAGTGTAACCTATACATAAGATTTGGTCTTATGGTGCCACTTATTCTCATAATACATATTGCCTTTATCTTTCTGTCCTTTACATTTGTCTTTATCTATCCTTCTTCTTCGTTCTCTCAAATGGTTGAGTATTTAATCGTGTGCTTTATATGTAATCGATGTGATTTATGATTTGAAGAGTTAAATAAAGTGTAATACCATCAGCACAGTCCTAGTCAACTCTCCCTAGAAGAATCCCCAGGGAGTCCCTAGGGATTTCGTTCTTTTATGGGGACTCACTGGGGACTCCCCGGGGAGTTATATGACCAAAATCGATGAAATATCTAATTACTAATAAATTCTTCTAAATTTTTTAAAATTTAAAAAAATTAGAAAGTTTTTTTTTAATTTTAAAAAACTTCACCAATTCTCCCCAGAGAAATCCCCGAGGAGTCCCCCAAATAAAAAGTCCCCGGGGACTCACGACAGGGACTCCCCAGGGATTTCGTTATTTTGCGGGGACTCCCCGGGGAGTCGTCGGGGGAGAGTGGATTAGGGAGGCATCTCTTCTATCCAAAATCATCACATTATGGTGTCATAGAATGATACTAAACGTGTTTGTTTATTTTCTAGATTTATACCTATTGGATTTTCATGAGTTTCAAAGATCTTTCATAGCAACGACAGCAATAATCAATCCATAGAGAACTTCATACAAGACAAGTCTTCTATTAATCAGCGCAATTCAAATATGAACTATAAAGAAGGTATATAAAAATAAAATACTTTGCCAAAAATTTACTTTCTCTCTTGGTTTTTATAGCATCTCGTAAGACGCAAAGCAAAAAGATGGGTCTGGTTGTTATCACCATTTTAGCTTTTAGTATATTGATATTGCATAAGCTTATTACTCATTTCAGCGTTAGTTCAATCACATACATACGATCACCACCACCAGGAAAGTCACGCTTCATGGTTAATATGGTTATTACTCAGAGTCAAGCAAGTGTTCCACCATTACCTATCTATTCACTTGATACTGAATGTAAAACTGATTTAAACGAGTCAACGTCTCAGATACGTAGGACACAATTTGACAAAATTTTCGACAATCGAGTCTGGAATCATCTGGGTGGTAGCCGTTCAGGGCCGGGCTCATCATTGGAAGGTGCTTTTGATTGGATAGCACATTTACGGACATTAATGGAACATCATTCGATTCAGTCTATTGCTGATATACCTTGCGGTGATACCTATTGGCAATTTGGTCTTCGAGAAATTAATACTATCGAAAAACTATATTTTGGTGGTGATATATCAACGCGAGTAATAAAACAAAATCAAAAACTATATGGATTCAAACATAATAATAAATTATTTCAATATTGGGATCTTGTTAATTGTCCAATACCAACATTCACATATAGAAATTCGACGCATGAAATCAAAGGCAATCGATTTGATTTAATTATTGTTCGTGATGCATTACAACATATGCATATTAAAAATGGTTTGAAAGCTGTACGAAATGTGATTAAGTCAGGTGCAAAATATTTTGCATTGAGCACTTATCCACCGAATGGAAGACCTGCAGGATCGGTGAGGCGTTCAATAGAAAAAAATAGCACATTACCATTGACATTAAATGAATGTATCAACAGCACTTACTGTAGTACTGGTGCGATTACAGATGGTGGATTCTATCCGAATAATATTAACTGTCATCCATTTAATTTTCCTTTAAGCAAAGCAATACTTGTACAACCATCTCACGAAAAATTTCCTATGGAGCATGATGAAATGCATATTTATAAAATTGATGACGAATTTAAGAGTATTGTGGAAAAGTATGACAAAGCATGTACTTAACGGAAACAGATTTGATGAAATTTATAAACAATTAAAATAATTATTTTAATCTTTATGCAACATTTGGTATCAATAGAAAGCTTCAAAATAAATGTTATACATTGAATTCAATATTTTATTTATCATGAAGCGCTTTTCGTTGTTTCTTTAAATTTCTATTCGCTATAATGTTCATATTTTTTTCTTCTACGCAAGCCTTTTATTAGGATAATTCTTTTTATTCGATTTGTTGGAATATATCATAAAGTCGTGTATGGCAAATAGACTTGAAATATCGCTTTATTTATTGACAAACATATCAAGTGCTGCTATTTATGACTATTTTAACATGCGAGCACAATCATTGCAACTATAACTAGATGGTATTCAAGTTTCACTCGAATACGAAATGCGATGCGAAGCAGGAATCTCCATCCAGGAAAAATCTGCAATTCAGAGAAATCTTGAATACTTTTCATGTCGACATGATGAAATTCATCACTCAGAAAACTCTATTCTTACTTAGCGATACATTCTTAAGGATCGATTTCGATTGATCGATTAATTATCATCATGATTCATTATCTTAGATCAGCTGTAAATGAATAGACTATAGTGGCTAACATATGTTCATGACGTCACTTTAATTATCTCG